CAGCCATTGCTGCTGGTGCCCCATGGAGCTGGCACTGCCACAGCCAGGATGTCCCCAAGGGTCCCCAGCAGTGCCAGGGACCACCAGCCTCGGCCATGCTCTGTGCCACGGTCTGTCCCTGCTGTCCGGCTGACCCTGCGTCTCCTGCAGGCGGCATCGCCGGAGCTGCGCTCCCAGTACAAGGTGTGTGTGCCCCAGTGCAAGCCGCTGTCTCCAGGGGAGATCCTGGGCTGCACGTCACCCCGGCTCGCCCAGGACACAGACGCCATCGTGTAAGTACCCGGCGTCTTCCAGGACCCTCCTGCCTGGCCCAGGCTGCCCGCCCTGCCTGTACCCCCTGTCTGGCTGTGGGGTGGTTCTCGGGGGCAGCGGGGGGATGTCCATGGGCTGGGCTGGGCCCCCTCTGGCTCCCCATGCTGCTCGGAGTGGCGTGTGCTCGTAGACAGAGGAAATAATTGAGTTGTATATCAGAATAGATAATAGATGGAAGGGCGGGTGGATAATTGGAAAAGACAAATGGCCGGGGCCCAACATCACAGCAACATTAATTTTATTTAAGGACAGCAAATTAGAGGGAGCACTTCGCTTCCTATCACCTAATTATTTTAGGTAATGGAAATGCTTAATGTACTGTGAATACAGTGTGCTGCAGAATAAATAAATACAAGGACTCCACCCTTGGGGGGAGCTGGGGAGCCCGGGTGCAGGTTTGGGTCCCACCGAGTCCCTTGCCAGGAGCCAGCAGCGCCGCTGCCTTTCCGAGCATGGCCGTGTGGGGAGCTGGAACTCACGATTGCCGGGGCAGGGGGTTGGTGGGGCTCTGGCTTTGTTCTGAGCCATGCCAGGGCTGGGGGAGAGGCGCTGCTTTCCACCTCTCCTCAAGGGCGTCGGGAGCGGGCAGGGGTGGCCAGGCCAGCACCGCGTTGGCGTGAGCGAGTCCTTCCCACTGCCGGAGGAGCCATGGTGCGGTACGAACAGGCTGCCCGTGCAGGTGCATGCAGCCGGCGTACCTGCGTCCTCCCCGCGTTATTATTTTCTTCTTTTGCCCATCTCTGGGGCTAACTTTTGCAGACAAATTAGCTTTGATCTCCCAAAATGTCATTCTCCAATTAAGGGCAAAATCTAGTCAAGTTTTACGTCTGAATTCATTTTCCAAGCCCTCACTCCATTAGGGCAGCTGAATGAAAGGCTTTGAAATGTAATTGCTGACTTGAAATCCGATTAGAAATATAAACAGCAACATCTAGA